CGGTCGATGGTTGCGTGACGGAGGCCGGTGGCGCCTGGGCGGGATGGAGGGTCTCCTGTGGAGGCTTTCTGTTAGAAGGGCCTCCGGCCTGACTGCAGGAGACGAGGAAGCAGCGGCCCGGGGGCCAGGCCGTCTCTTGGGAGCCGCCTTCAGGCTGGCGGCGTGGTACCGGCAATGGGAACGCCTTCCAGGCTTCTTCAGAAGGGGTTTTACGCTGTGGGAAGTTGGCTTGTGAAAAGAGCGTGCAAAAGTGGCGAGAAGGGGCTATAGTCTCTACTGTAGCCTTCATTACAGGCAAATAGGCATATTTATTCAGAATGATCTAATGATCTACACCTCTTTAAACTACCATATTTTTGAGGAGGTACAGTTCTTGAAATGTCATGTCATCTGGTATTTTTTCCTTTTTTAAATTTCATCTCCTGCTTCAGTGCTTAATTTCTAAAGCAGAAAGGTACAAGCAGTGAAACAACTTCTTCTGTCACCAAAACAAAGAATATGCGTGGAAATTTCACATGTACTAGACATCTCAACCACACTTACTTTCTTAAATGGCAAAAAGCAGCTTTGTTCCTTTAAAATAAACTGTCCATTCTTCTTTTTTCCTCCTTTTTTTCAAATAATATTTTGCCACTTTAAAATAAAAGTCAAATTACAAAAAGGTAATAGGTTAATTTTTAAGATGTTTTGCATGTAAGAATTATACTCTCCTCAAAAAAGAGGGCGGTATAATCACAATTTAGCTGTTTTGTGAGTTTAGTTTTCCTTCTGCCACAACACTGATGTCTCTCTCTATTTCTAACAGAGTATACCTGAAATACCTCCTAAGCCTGGAGAACTGAAAACAGAGCTGTTGGGTCTAAAAGCAAGATCAAGCAAAGTTCAAAATTCACAACAGTGACCAGAACTTACTTACGTTGTGAAAACTAGAACTGGTAAAATATTTGTTCAGCTGTCTCAACTGCAGAAATCCACATGTGAAATACTGTACTCCCTTAACACACTTTTTTGTTTCCTTTAAGCAGAGTTACAGGCAGCATTAAAAGTAAATGTACGATGAATACTGTTAAAAGTCCAATCGGTTGTGTGCCAAAATACTTATGATTTCTTAAATCTTGATTGCAGTGTAAGTATCCTTCAGAATAAAAGATGTAAGCTCACATTGGCGAGTCTGATATAATTTGAAAGTTTGAAGCTGATTAACAAGTATAGGAAGTTTAGCATATTGAAAAGTCAAGCTTTTATGGCCACTCATTAGCCTTAATAAACTTACCTGTTCATCTGTAGTAGAAACTGACCCCACCATTGGCATTTCCCCCCTTTTTAAACTCTTAACTCAGCATTACTGGACGTAACCCAGACTGTGAAACAGTAAGTGATGGTGTGTACAAATAAGAAAGATTGCTTATTGCAGCACTTCTTGCACTGGACTCCTCCTAATGCTGGCTAGCTGCTGAGACAGCAGCAGTTACATCGGCTTTCTGTCTGCATTACTAACAGGAAATCTACTTTGGTCCCAGTGAGGCTGGGACCAGTGGGGAGGATCTCACAACTTGGTTGTATTAGTTAAAATGGGGCAAATACATACAGATTGCACTGAAATTTGGGCATCATCTTCTGTTTATGGCTGATTTTGATAGCTGTAAATATACAAAACTCTGAAATAACAAGTGCCGGTTTACCTTTCAGTCCTGAAATAGGATTGCCACAAAACTCTCCCACCAGGAACTCGAGAAGATATGCAAAGTCAACATCCTACAAAGATGGTACAACAACCCATTTTTGAATAGTACGGAGTAGAGCTTGTGAAGGTTGGGGATTGCTTTCCCTTGAGAAGGGTACCAAGCCAAGGCCCCCGCTTCATCCTCAATTCTCACTCGGGTTTAACTCGGGAAAGAAAACCACAATCTGACAAATTACCCATTAAGGAAACAAAAAAGCTCCCCAATTCCTACTGGCAAAGTACTTAGAGCTCTTGTAATAGCAGAGGGATCCAGAAATGATCACTGAAAGTGCTACTTCTACATCTGTTCCAACTGTGAAGCTGTTATTTATGTTTGCGTAAGTTGGAGTGGTTTTCCTAGGAAGAAGGGTTTATAGTTCCTCTGCATGTGTGTGTGCCTCTGCTCCCACACAGTTTTGCAACTATTGGCTGATCAAGAAGAGCAGCTGAGGTGGGATGAGATCCTCTCCGTGGCATGCTCTTGCATGCCAATGTTCAGGCTGCAGCCTGTACGTAATATTACTAGATGACAGGCTTTCTACCTGGGACACCTCTATCAAGGATAACAGTCACTGATAGAAAAGCCTCAAGTAAATCTCAGATGTTAAGCCCCAATGAAATCAATCAATGAGAACATCTTAACAGTTCCAGTCCTGGTGAAACTACTTTTTCCTTCACTGTACCTAAACAAAGCTGAGATTGACAACCTTCCACCTCAGCATAAGATAAAGTTTATTGAAGAGACAAGAGGGGGCATTTCAGCAGTATTTTGTTCCTGTTCTAACTAGGGCAGGAATAGCAGTTTTTCAGTTACCCCTTTAAAGAGCCAGGATTCATCAAGCCTTTGCCCTGTTACTTACGCTTTGTCAGAGTATCACCTCTGTCATTATGTTGGTTTCTGACATGGAAGATGCATTTCTCCCTATTTTCTAAAGGCTTTTCCGATCTAAAGGCTGCAGGGGAAAGTTACTACTAATTTAGATTGGATTTCTAAATGTATCCTGCTACTAATGGAAACTGAGCAACAGGGAGCATCTGTTTTACCCCAGCCTTTTCTAGCACTGAGGGAACTGTTACCATTACTGCCCATCTAGGAACAGCAAAGCTGACAATACATCAGCTTTTAACAGCAGAGGTGACACCCCTGAAATCAGTGTGACTGCAGCACTGAAAGAAATAGCCTCAGTGTGACTGGGAGACATTTCTTCCAGCACTGACACTGTTTTACTTCACAGAGCTGACCCCCCTCACGCCCTCCCCCCCAAAAAGCAAGATTACAACTGCACTTTGTGCTTATTAATAGCAAACACTTGTCACTCCAGGACAGAGAAGCAGCTGAACCACAGCTATGTTGCACATGATATCCTCATAGCTGAGGAAGATGAAGCAGCACAAAGCATGACTCTCAACTGTGCTCTTTATTATTTCTAAAATTTAATCAGATGATGTCATTCTAAAACCAATCAAGGTATTGAGAACTTCAACTACGTAACAGAGCAAAGGTTGCTTAAGTCCACAAGTAATTAACAGATTAAGAATACTGTAGCAAGCAACCCTACGCTTCCAATACTCCAGTTTGTTAGCTGCAGAAACACTCTTAACCATGCAGTAGGCCTGAGCCACATTTGCTACTCAGGCTGGTCAAAGAGATACAGAGGGGCGCATATTGATGATATACTCCGAAGTGTGTCACAGTAAGTGGTATTTTAGGAAGTATTAAATCAAAACCTCAGCAGCAGCTGATTGCTACAGAGCACAAAAGACAAAGTTGCACTGCCATAGTAAGAGGACCATGCCTTAACAAGAAATGGTGCACCTGCCCTATTCAGTAACTTACCAACAAAGGACTGCTATTAAAGCCGATATTGCTAGCCCGTGAACTACACTCTAGGGTTAGACCACTCGGCATGCTCTAATAACGAAAGCCTCTTACTGTCCATCTAAGATACTACTACAGTGAGCAAAACCCAAAACAACTCCAAACTCCCTCAAAAACACAAAACTAAGCTCCCATTCCTTGAAGTCTCTAACAGCATACTTCAATAAAGCCAACATCTCTGTATAAACCCTAACTCACTAACCACACCGATACATGGCATTTGTATTTACTGCATGTAAACAGTATTTGGGCAATATAGAAGCTGCCTAGTAAATGTAAATGGAAAGCAAGTTCTTCAGATCAGCATTTAGTGCCCTCAGCTAATTAGAAACAGTTTTTATTTCACTTCAAACTTCAAGGAAGAGTCTGTTAACAAAACAGAAGAATGGTTCTAGAATCATTGTATAGAAGTACTACTCCTATGTACTTCTTCCAAAGAGGAAGGCAAAAAAAAATTTCAGTGTAAACACTTTCTACCAACCCTGTGAAGATGTTTCAAAGTAGAGGCACTAGTGAGAAAATGTAGTGCTTCATCCAACCACCACATAAAGCTAATACAGTGAATAGAAGAGAAAGTGGTGCCTCCAGTTCAACCTGTCTACATTACAATTTGGTATCAATGGATTTAGCTTGAGTTAGATTAAGTATTTACAGTGCTTTGCCATACTAAAGAGACACAGAACAAGAGTGAAAAAGTTTACCAATAACAGCACTAAGGAGTAACTGTAACAGACAAGAGCTTGCACCTTTAAAAACCTGTAGAAAGCAGGACCACTGTAGCTGTTGGGAAAGCTACACTAGTTAAAGGGAGGGTTACCAAATACCATGGAGGATGGTATAAGCTCACAGGCAGTGAGCCACTTCTGCTTGTTGTTCATGCCTTTAGCAAAAGGAATTTTTTTTTTCCCCCTCATCTCAGCTGTAGAAGCTTCCACAGCCTGCTCTGTACAGCAGAGTCAAGTCACATATAGGCCAGTGCAAGCTGGCAGGATTTCTGTTCCAATGCTATTTTTAAATGCCCTATCTCCTCTTTCTTAAGATGTCACTAGATACATAAGTATTCAAGAAGTTATTTCAACTAGCAAGTTCAGTACAGCTCTCAGATACCAGGTATATTTTGGCTAAACAGGCACAGCAGGTTTGTTAACACAAAACCCAACCATAGGCATACACTACACAGTTAAGCGTGGCATAAGGCTGCAAACTGCCTCTTGTACAAAGGACCTGAAGACTCAAGACAATCCCTTCGTTTCTTTGTGCTAGCCCACAAGATGAGCTTACTGTGTAAAATTTAGAGTTAGTGGTGTTTGGGAACATTTTATTTTGTACATGACAAGATTTTACACCAAGTCAGTTAAATAATACAAATTTACATTCAGGAGGAATGTTTTTAGAAAAGTCAACTTAAAAAAAAAATCTTCCTTTACCCTTAAAACCCATACCATCCCTCAACATTTTACAGTGGAAAAAACCAAAACAATCTAATTCACATTCCCTCCTAACCCCCCAATGCAGGACGGTAGTTGAGTGCAGCTTACAGTTCATCTTTCACATCTGTGGATTCCTGTAGAGACATCAAGCAGAGAATCAGAACGTTGCTTTTTGAAAGTGGAAAAGGTTACAAGAGCTGTCCCAGAAGAACTGGGCTTAAGTATCCATCAAGACATCATTAAAACTGTAGACATTAACTAAGTGAAGGCTGACCTCACATAACAGTTTAGCTGTTTAGAGGTAGTGTTGTTGTCTGTAGTGTTGTTGCAAGTCTGTATTGTAAGCATTTGAAACTATACTCCTGCCAATTTGTTGATGTCATTGCCCACAAACTGTTGAAATCCAATAGACAACATTGACTGCTGCTGTTTTCTTGCCATAGGGCACCGTTACAATCTTAAGCTTAATTTATCTCCAACTTTGAACATATCTAAGTGTTTTCTTCCTATAATATAGTTTGATAAGGAATGAAGTGTCATTTGTGCTGCAGTTTTTTTTCCCCTCCAAGAAAAGCTTGGAAAACCTCACACTAGAAACTAGTGTCATGACAGGCAAAGTGAATGAGTTTGTTGCCAGGAAACACCACAGACAAAACTGCACATAAATATTGGTTAAGAAAGGAGTCAAGCTTGAGACCTTACCTTCTGTGTTTCACTGTCTTCAGCATCAGCATCCACCTCCTCTTCATCTTGCTCTGCCTCCTCAGCTGCATCTTCAGGCTCTTCAGGTTCCTCCTCCACCTGTAGGAAGGTCACATGCAATTTGCTTTATTTGCTTAGGATGTTCACTTGTTGTGGAGTAGCTAAAC